TGAAGCTCACCCAAGATTGCAAGTACAGGCCCTTCAGGGCCGGTCCGGTTGGCCCAACGGTCCACCAAAAACTGCACCAACAATTTTCGGGGGTCCACCAGGCACTGGAAAATTGCCTGGGGACCCCAATTTTTTTTTTCGAATTTTCTCAAAATGGGGCCCAACCGGACACCGGATCCAGACATCCAGACCGGACCGTCTGGATCCCGATCCGGACGTCCGGTTGACAACCATGGAAAAAAGGCTCGTTGTGCCTGTACTGTAAAATTTGGTGGATGAATCTGGACGTGTTATGCAGCATAGATGCATACTGATTGGGAAAGGAAGTGCTGAACATTGTTTAGCAGGAGCTAAACTGGAGGACGAGCGGACAAGAGAGAGAGAGAGAGAGAGAGAGAGAGAGAGAGAGAGAGAGAGAGAGAGAGAGAGAGAGAGAGAGAGAGAGAGAGAAGGAAGGAAGGAAGGAGGGAAGGAAGGAAGGAAGGAAGGAAGGAAGGAAAAGGCTACGCAGTGGGGGAGTCAGGCAGGAGGGAAGTAAGGAAGGAGGGAAGAAAGAGGGCGGAGTGAGGGAGGGAGGGAGGATCTGTTTTCTGGTTGACTCCATCTGTCATAGAGAGGTTAGCAGAGAAATAAACTCAAATAATGGGCCACACACAACCTGGTGATCCCACTGCCACAGGCATCTGAGGGGAACAAGCCAAAATTGAATGAAGTGCCTTTTGTAGTAGAAGTCGTGGCTACCGTCTTCACCCGAATAGAACGCCCGGTCATTATCGCTGTATTTGATGCAACTTTCAGTCCAGTTACAACAATAATTACCATGCGCTCTATCCGGTTGAAGACGGTAGTTTCACAAAACCCTCTGCGGTTTTCTGTTTCTGTTACAGTAGTTTCACAAAACACTCTTCGGTTTTCTGTTTCTGTTTTTCCTGTCTCATCTGCTGATGTGTCTCATCTTAGTTATCTTAACTTATATGCTCTCATAGACTGTCACCTGCTCAGTGAAATTCCTGGTGAGATCGCTAGACCTGATCAGATCACGTAACTTTTTGACCTGATCAGATCGCGTATCTTGTATCTTAGCAATTTTGTCGATGGACTCATAATAGTCTCATATGCCTCAGTTGAAAAAGATGCACATTGCACTGTCATCATATGCACGTATGGAGCTCAAAAGAATGCTCAACTAGGGACACAAACTCTATTACAGATCGCGCTCGCATTAGTTTTTCTTTTTTTTAATAATAAAACAGAACCTTACATCCGGTTGGAGAGAGAAAGAAGAAAGCCACCAAATACCGAAAAGATGGCAGTTATTTACAATTTGATAGAAATGCTGTTGTTTTAATCAATAATGGTTTGCCTATTGGTACGAGAATTTTAGGTTGTGTGACACATGAACTACGAAAAAAACGCTATATACTAGTGGCATGCTGGCATTATTGAAGTGTCACTGATAGCAGTTTTTTCCGTTTGGGGGATCATGGAATGATATTTTCAGGAGCCTAAAGGACAAGTATGGGAAGGTTAATTTGGAAGAGAAACTTCATTTGAAGAAAATGGAGCTTAAAGGTCAGTGCAGTCGTTGGAGAGAACGTCCTGAAGCAGGGCTCTCTGTGAAGTTAGCTCGTAGCCTCGTAGGTCGTTTACAAAAAGGGGCTTGGCTGTTCATGTCCCTCTCCTCTCCTTGGGATGTTCCTGACACATTTATCCTCCTTCCCTCTCCCTTTTTCCTTCTTGACCCTTCCCGCCTCGTGTCCCTCTCTCCCTCACAGTCTCCCTTACATACCTCTCTACCTCCCTCCTTCCCACACTCGGATCCTCCCTTCCTTACTTCCCTCCCTCCTCCTGATCTCCTGAATAAGCAACTAAATGCAGTCTATTGTATCTTTTGGAAAAAAAAAAAAACACTTCCACCCAAAGAAGGCCAAATCTCTCAGTCTATTGCTACAACTGGCATATTTTACACATTAAGTCATAGCTCAGCCTGTGAGAAATGGTTAACGGAGGCCCTAATTTTCGGGCAACTTGTCATGCCATTTATAACAAAATCAAAGGGGGTCATTTTAACCAAACTTGCCAGCAATTCATAGAGTGGAGACCATACTAATTGATTTTTTATTGTTTTTTAACTATAAAAATTTTAAAACAGTGCGGCAAAAGTGCATCTTCATGTAAATTTCGGCAACATTGAATTTCAGAAATCTTGAGAAATTTCAGAAATGTCAGCAGAGGAAATTCCAACACCCAAACCATAACCCAAAACAAAAACAGGCAGAAAAACAAACAAACAAACAAACCAACATAAAATTTGGGGTCTGTTGGTCAGGACCTGAAAATGGGGTTCCCCGTTAACCATTAGCGGCGCGAGGATGACTCACATAAATCTTCTTTTTGTTTTCCAGGAAACACGCATATATCGAGTGAGAGAGGGGGGGTGTTGGGAGGGAGAAAACGCACAGAAAACACAAACAGACAAACAGGCAAACAGACAAACGAAAACAGAAACAAAGCAAACAAAACAAAAAAACAAAAACTAAACTTTTTAGTCTTTCAGGACATTCATTAAAATTGGACTGCTACAGAGAGTGAAGATTAGCATGGCCCCTGCGCAAGGATGACATGCATAAATCGGGAAGTGGTTGAAAATTGATTTTTAATTTCAAGTAACGAAAACAAAAAAAAACAAAAAAAACAAAAAAAAAAACTTCTGCCAGATATGGCCTGTTGAATGTGAGGTGGTGGTGTTGACGATGTGGCGTGGTGGTGTGTATGCCACCAGAGCAACAGCAGAGGCTGCAAGCGCAGGTGCAGTCAGCAACACAGAAGGAATCTGGCCCAGGAGTTGACCCAGGAGCGGTTGAAGCAAACTGCCGGTGGGAGGAGATTTCAAAGCTGAAGCTGGATATCTCCAGCGCAGAGGCAGAGCTGTCGTCATTGATGCAATCACTGAGTGAAAAGAAGAAAGAACACCAAGCACACCAAGAAAAGTATGAGACGGTAGGTAGGCATATGACATTTGCGACATTTTGCCTCTCCCCTTGGCCTTTCACGCAGTCTTTGTTATCATAGAAGTCGTCAGTGAAATTGAATAAAATATTAAGATTGCAAACGCAATTCATAGATTTAGCACAAAATGTGAGTGCAAGGCTTTACTCCCACAGGGAACATGGTGCGCCCCCAAAAAATTGAACTGAAATGATGCTTACGTGAACATGCCAGCATCACATTATGTCCTCTGCAAGAGTAAAGGCTCCTTGCATTTTATCCTCTGCGAGAGTAAAGCCTCGCATTTGCACTAAACCTATGAATTGTGTTTCTGCAACTTTCTCGAAAATTCATTATGCAATGACACCGCTATGCATGGAACACTCGAACACAAGTCTCGTATCACATCACACATACATGAGACACGCAGTAGGTATGAAGTCCGAAAATACTCTCAGTAGCCAACACCAAACTTACTTGTCTTCTTCGTCACCTCCAGCTATGGCCGCCCAACTAGACATGCAGATAAGCCTCTCTCTCTCTCTCTCTCTCT